TGTATTATGGTTGTGTCGGATTCCAAAACTGCGCGTCGTGTTTCAGAAAACCTTTGTTTTTTAATTTGTTTTGTTTTGTTATAATTGAATTTTGTGTCGTTCGTCTTTTCGATCTGTTATATCCTTTGAAACTTGGCTTCTTTTCATAAATGTTTAACATTTGAAAAAAAAAATTCTGCCAACTCGGTATCTGAATCTCGAATACTTTTAATTTGTGAAGTTGTTGTTTGAACATTTTTACTTACTGTAGTTTTAAATTTTCCCTTTTTTCTCATTTGATTGTGATTTCAGCTTGTTCTAGTTTATTTACTAGTTTTGGGAAACCTATATCAAAATTTCGGATTAACAATGGATTGCCTAATTGTGCTGTTAGAGTCATCATCAAAATTTTTGCCATTTTCGTGCTTTTGTAATTCTGTTTATTAGAAGAATATGCTTTTCTTACAAGGGTTTCAATTCTTACTGCGAGTAGTTTTATCGTTTCGCTTAGAAGTCTGGAATTTTCATTGCATAGAATTCTTTGGTGTCGTTTGTTTCTTTCAGAGTCAAACTTTTTTGAAATTTCTGGCGTAATTTGTTTCCAATCAGATTTAATTTCTATAAATAGGATTGAAAACCATTTTTGTGCTGCACCATCGTTGTGGTTTGAAATGAAGCCGTACGTCAGAGTATCCAATTTTGATGAAGTGGTGTATTTACCGGTTCCTGACCGATGTTTAAAATGTAATTACTATTTTGCATTGAAGTAATTTTCTACTGAGTATTCAGGATCTGTTCCTGTGAAAACCATGAGTGATATATTAGATGTAATTAATGATCCACCCACAAGGTATGGATTCATTGTAATTTCAAGCAATTCTGCTGTGTTTGTTAATTTTGTAATAACCATAAGTTGTTTTTGTTGTTTCATAATGTTGTAGGTAATATTGCAAGAGGATTTCATTTTGCATTTGATTGGAATAGTAACCTTGAGAGTTTATTTGGTTTTGTGATTATATATTATTATTATTAGAATGAGCCAAGTTTTCTCGTTCAGGAAAGGGTTGTCGTGTTTGTTGTGTATGGTTTGAATTTATTTAGAGTTCAAAAACATCTGGTTGATATGTATTATCTGTTTGGTCAATAATATTCCAATTTTTTTTTCGTGGAACATGATTGTTTTGTTGTTGATTTTGATTGAAGTAATCTTCATCTTCAGAGTGATGTTGTTGATTTCTCCTAAATGGTTTGTTTGTTTAGTTTTTGTTTTGTTGAAAAAGGGATATTTTTCGGACCGGTCTGTTGGTGTTTTCCGTTTTTCATTAAGGAAAACTAATTGTGGAACTGGTTGTGGTATCTGTTGAGTGTAGTTATGTTCCTATGGTTGATTTCGTTTTGTGCAATGTCACTTTGCTATTGGGTTGCTCATGATTTTCTTTGCACAAAAATCGTAATTAAGGTTTAGGAAATTATTTCTGTGTGCGGGCTTTTGTTTGTTTGATTGTCGTGTTCTAGCTATTGGTCTATAAGATTGATAATCTACGTGATAGTATTTTGGACCAACAGGTGGTTTGATTGTTGATTGTAGTATTGTTTCAAGTCTTTTTCTGTTTAAAAGTGTGTTGGGGTTTGAATATCTTGTTGTGTCTGTTTCTAGTACCAAAAAGGGTTGAAACTATTTTTATTTGTCTTATCCTTAATTATTGTGTTATAATTTGAGGGCGTTGCATCAATGGTGAGTGCAATTAATCTTAAGTAATCTTTGTGTACGGAAACAGTAGTGATTGCCGCACTTGAATTGTCGTTAGGGCTGTTAACAAAGAAAATATGAGACCAATCATGGTCCCAAAAAAATTTGTTTGGTCTGCTAATATCGTTTCATCGTTTGGAGTCTGTGGTCGGAAGCTGTTTCTTGCCGTTGATATTAGGTCTATATTGTGTACAAAAGTAATTCATTATGACTGAGCAATGGTAGGATTCTTTGCAGATCAAGTTTCAATATTTGTGATATATCATTATTGCCGAATGTTTCACGAATTGAGTCTAAAAATTGCGAAAAAAAATTGATTTTTGCCTGATTTTTGTATGTCGAGATGTTTGTGTTGATGATACATTTAACACTTCGATGATTTTCTAATATGCAATTGTAACTATAAATGTTGGAGAAAAAATCTTTTGTCAAAATTAAGTTTGCCCTTTGTGAATTTTGGTGTTAAATTTTGTAAAATAAGTTCTGTGGACTTTTTTGAGAAATCTTGGTCTATATCATCTGTTTGATTTCGGCGTGGTGTTTGATTTGTTTGTGAAGATAAGATTTCAATAGTAAATATGCCAACATATGAGGTGATATCAATAAGGCCTGGTAAATAGTGGTCAAGTATTTGTCTTTTCATTTTTACTTCGCGAAATTCTTGCTTACTTGTGCTATGCTATTTCCTTTTACGAATGAATTTGCAATCAAATTATGATAAAAATGAACCTGTTCGCTAGCGGAATCCCTTTGTGGGTGGTTAGAGTCATTGTCAAAATTTTCGTCCTATCGAATCGTTTCTTGTGTTTTAATACTGTAAATGTGTAACTTACAATTAGTCTCAATGGTTGATTCCATTTATAAAGTCGTACTGGTTTGCGAATTTATAATTTTTTTATGCGTTAATTTTATTGATTATGGCGTTTAAGATTCTGTTAATTTTGTCTAGAGAGTCTTTTAGGTCCTGAAGTTTGTGTATTGGGTTTGTGTCGGATTTCAAAACTGCGTGCCGTGTCTCAGAAAATCTTCGCTAATTAATTTGTTTCTGTTTTGCTGTTTATGACTTTTTTCTTGTTTGTCTTCTCGATCTGATATATCCTTTTTTGTCTATGTGGCTATGTGGTGTAATTACAAGATCATATCTTTCGTTTTGAATTAAACAAATCTGAAGGCATATTGTTTGCTTACTTGCTAAATTAACTCTTGACACAAGGTTTGGAAGCATAGTGGAAAATCCAGGAGTAAGAAGTTGTTAGTTTTTACGAATGTTGTGCGGTTATCCTTATTTGGGGCGTAGCTTGCCGAAGTGCTTATTCTTCACTGTTTATCCTAATTGAAATGGTTTGTTTTTGTTAAAAAATTTCAGTTAGTCCTGGTTCGATGATAGGGATTGGAGACTGAATCGAAGTTTGAGGTCATTTGACACTGTTTTCTAGAAGTTTGGCGGAACAAGGTTTGTTCTGATTGATGCAAGTGATGCATTGATGATCAAATAGATTAAAACTAAAAAATATATAATTAAAAAAAAATTAAAAGATCCAAGGAAAACCTTGATGATCTAGGTTTTAAAAATAATATTAGCACAAAACAAGGATAAGCCTTGATAAGGTTTAGATTTAAGTTTTAGGAAATTTAGAATACTAAAATTTAGGAAGAAATGGATGTAAGGTTGTGAATTAAAATAATTTTAGTTTTTGAAACAATTTTGCTTGTGTTTCAGATGAGGAAACGAGAATGAAGAGAACGGGAGAGGATAAGGCTCCTTGGAAAGCAAGAAAAATTATAAACCTAATAAGAATAACTTTCATCTACTAACTAATTTTTGCATTTTAATAATTAATTTTTAATTTTACAAAGTTTTTGAAAATTACTGCAGATTTTGATAATGGGAACAACTTGTTTATCTTTTTATCAGTCGTTATTAAGTTATAGAGTATTGTAATACAACATCAAGATGAATTTTGCTTGGAAATGAATCTAATTGCTCCAAGTAAGAAATGTGTTATAGAGATATTTTTATCAAGAATAAAAATGGTTATAAATATTAGTTTAAAACTGGTTCAAAAAGGTATATTCTCGTTTAATTGTCCCAAAACTGACTTCTTTCAAAGCTCAATCTTTTACAAGAAATCTCAGATTTTGTATATTTTAGAAAAAGTAAGCCCAAAAGAAGCTCAAAATAAGCTCTAATAAAGATGTTTGATTATTTTGAGTCGTAGAAACAAAAACTCTCCAATCAAAACTTTAAATTTTTACTGTTGCAAAACTGGTCGCATCAGATAGTGTTTATGATGATAGAGCCCGTGGAAAATTATAACACGAGTTTTGGATTATAAATTTTTTTTTCTCTTTCTGCGACCTGCTGAAGAAATATCCTCCGCTTTCTCATTTCAGGAGCATAATCAAGTTTATCCAGTCGCGAAATTTTGGCACATTTGCAAAGAAACTACCTGCATTGCAAATGGGACCTGGGCCGATAGTAGACACTCGACTTTTGTAATAACTTGCAACTCCATAAACACAACTGGGTACAAAAGTTCCGCATTTGAAAAGGTAAAGTGGGCCTCCATCATCCAAGTGGCATATATTTGCATCTAAATTGGTTGCACTTTCAACACAGATGTTGTCTTCTGGACACAGTCGAAGTTCCAGTGGATTTATTCCTGACTCGAAGTAGGATTGAAAGAAAAGAGCCTCCTTTTATGATCACTTTAAGCATTTTAAAACCAAATAAGGACAAAGTGAACATTTTCCTCCCTAATTCAAAATCGAGATGAGAAAGTGAACTCGGTTAAAAGCAATACTGTCAGCCAATCAGATTTCAGCATACCACGTTTAGGCCTAACACTGCATAAACTTATTATATAAATTAGGGCGGAGACTGTTCACTTAGATTTGCAAGGCTCGTTCAACGCTGGATTTGAAGTGTTGGGCTATTCTACGACTTGCTGTTGCAGAAATTCTAGTCCATTCATAAATCTCTGCTGAAGTTTCTGTACTATCTAATCGCAATTTTTCAAAAAATATCCCAAAGGTATTTCACAAAAAATTCATTACGAGGCTAATTGTGAAATGAATAGGCGCACAATTGGAACCCAGAGACAAAAGTCTTCAAACATGTTCAAAATTTGTCGACGAAAAAAAAAACACAAATTGAAAAAATAATCAACGAGAGCTGTCTTTTTGCGGAATCTGTTTAAAATTCAGCAAATATTTTGTTTGGCCTCGTAATGGTTTTTTTGTTATTTTCTTTTTATATCTTTTTTTTTGAAATCGAGCAGCGGCTTAAAATGATCCTGCAAGGTTGATGGATAGCTGTCATTCAGCGGCGAGTGTCTACCTAGACCACTCGCACCTAAAAACACATATCATCACTCAACTCCTAAGACAAAAAGCGGCATTTAAAAAATGAAAAAAATTGAACGGTTGAAGCGTATCAAAAAGTCATCAATTTGTTTTACTGCAAAAATTGTCTCAAAATCAAAGTTGAACGGGTCATTTATCGTTTTTTTATCCATCGATTGTAGGATCGAACGAAGCGAGCTAATTGTAACTCAATCAAGAAGGATGAATGATACAAAATGTGAGCTCTTCTGACCAAAAACCTTTTTTGTTCATGAGAACAGTTGGTATTGGCAAAAACCGGTTGCTGTTAACGTACAGAGAGATATTATCAGTTTTATTAGCTAATTTTGCTTATATTGTTTTTCAAAATCATTTGGTTAAAAGTTTTTCCAAATCTTTTGATCCTTTGTCATGCGAACAGACTTCAGTTTAAAGTTTTTTCTTGAAGCCAAACAAGTTAATGTGATCTTGTTTCCGTCGAAAGTTTCCGTACAACTCTCAGTGTTGTAAGATTTTAAACGTGATAACTTTCACACCTGAGGTCAATTGTTTCCATGTTCGAAGAAGAAAGAAAACTAGGAATATATATTTTATTCAGATAATTTTGATTTAAACTTTCGACGGAAACTTTAAAAACTCATTTGAAGGAAATTGATGCGATGAGCTCATTGAAAGGTAACTCATCTGCAAGATTTTTCTTAATTATGATGTTTTGATTATGGTTTGATTATTGCCATTTTGGCCTATAAGGGACAATTAATGCGGTTCAATTATCAGTTTTTAGAATTGCAGGAGCAAGTGTCGCGTACTTGGGAAGTCAAAATTTTCACATAAACAACATTTTTACAAATCTGAAAAAAGATTTTCGTTGCTTTATTGTTGAACTACAACTTTTAGGTTCCTTCCTAAAGACGTAGCGAATTGGAAAAAAAAACGGGAAAACTTTTGGCTTAGTTGCCTCATCTCATGTAATTTCTCAACTTACTAATTATACCCCAAAATATTTTCTTTCAAATTTTTTCCGCTAAAAAGCTTTGCTCGGCCAAAAATATGATGGTTTTCGTTTGTGTTTTAATGAAAAAACCCTTTCATTGTGTCGGTAAAAGTGCTAAAAATGTTTTTTTTTAATGTAATTCAAGTCTGTTGCGGAATAAATATTTGAAATCTTAAAAACTAAACGTTAAAATCTTTTTTGTTTTGAAACAACCATTTTTCTAGTAGTAATGTTTTATAATTCGGCTCGAGAGAAACTAACTACTCATTTTTAGCTGATTACTAAGTACAAAACGCTGATTTCATAAGCTGATAGTTGTGTTTCTTGGCTGCTTTTTCGAATTAATTTTTTTGCTTGGTTTTCTTTGCAGTCCTATTTGTCTCAATCAGTCCCACTCGCTGGCTTGTTTTTGTTGTTCTTAATTGATTTTTAAAATGTGCTTTGAAATAAAAAAAAAACTATTTTACTATTTTTCGTTGGAAATTTCATGAATATTCACGAAAGCTATTGCAGATACGCTGAAGTGAGATCAAATTACTCGAAATTTTCAAAATTTTGTCTTTATACGCCGTCTTGGTCACTTTTTCCTTGCTCTAGCGCTAGAAATTTTCTCGTGTTTGACCTAGAAACTTAACACTGCTTTTTTTGTGGCTTACAGCATTTATGCGAAACCTTACAAGAAAAACTTCTTCACTGTCAAGATACCAACCAATTAGAGTTAAATCAGATGCAGGATGGAGGAGGTGAGGGCAAATAGGCAGAATGCGGCTCCTTTCCAAAATCGGCTCCCGAAGTTTAAGAAGCGCGATATCATTTCTTAATACTCGCCCCCGTATTTCGAAGCTACAAACAAAACGGTACAGAATAAACTATACATAGAAAAAATACAAGGTTCATCACAAAATGGAGTCTTACATTAATTTGAAATTAAGTTATCGTTATATCTTTTTTGTTAACTTTTATCTAATATATTTTTTTTCTTAATAATCGCTAAATTTTAGATTGGCTCGAAAAAATTTTAGCGTTACCTTGCTGGATAAAACTTTGCCTGGACGCTATGAAGTTTTCTCACAGGGTACACCGGCAGAGCCAATAGCGCGTCATCGACCAACACAAAAATATCTGAGACTGAAAGCAGCAGATAAATAAAACAGAAATACCAAACTGTTATACTGAAATACAAAAAACTATGATTAAAAAGTACATAAGCGAACGGCACAACAAAAAAACAACAAATAGATTTTTCTGTTGTTTTTCTATCAAAAACTTATATACAGAAAGTTAGAAAAAAGTGTAACTGCAAAACCTTTTAGTGGAAGTAATTGCCGAAGTTCAGTTGACCCCCATGGACCAAAATTTCTAGTCATGAGAGGCAAAAAGCAGTTTTATATCTATATTGGAAAACAGCAAATGAACCTTATTTTTGTTAGCAAAGAATTCTTTTAGATTACTAGGCTGATTTAAATTATCCGAACAAAACGAATAAAGCTTTATAACTAAAACACGTTTTTCATAAACTGGGTAAATTTAGACAACAACGATGAAAACCTTCTTGTTGAAAATTTCAGCAAAATCAACATGGTGCATGTTATTTCGCAAAAACTGGGCCCAAAAACTTCTTTAATTAAAAAATACGCTTAAGATGTAGTATTTTTTAAACAAAAATGAGAAATTTTTATAATTGATAATTTTTTCTCGGGCCATGTGCTAGAGTTTTGTCAGCAGCTGAATCGGTAATTTTTGTGCCGTTATTTAAAAAATATTAGAAAAACGCGTTTTGATTTTCAAGTTTCATCCGTTTTGTGTGGGTAACCTAATTCAGCTTTGTATTTTAAATTGATTATTTTGTAGTATTAAATTGCTGTTATTCAATATACATGGCAAAGTAGTAAAAGAGGTTAAAAAAGTTATTTTAACACTCGCGTCTGATGTAAGAGCAGCGGATCGAGGCTAAGCATTTTTTTCAGGCTGCCTTTTGTTACGAGTTATTTTTTATTGCAATTCGTTGTGGTTCTAAAAGTTGTCGATTATTTCTTGTAAATTCACCAGGATTTGAATTTTCTACAAAAAACGGCAATCGAAAATTTTCATACTTGAAAAAAGTATGGAGAACATTTTCTATAGTCAATAAAAAATCACTTTTGAAAGTTGAGGTTGAAAATCAACCCAAAACATTGTTTTCTTTTTGAAGAGAGCGGTAAAAAAAGTTTTTTTTTCTCAAAAAAATTGCTGATTTTTTTCATGGATGTAGCTTTTAGTATATGTGATCTAATCTATGAGCCCAAAAATATATTACAAACTGTTTTTAAATAGCTAACTTTAAAAACTAAATAATGATCCTTTGAAAAAACAGGAAACTATGATGCAGAAATTATTTTAAAAACCAAAATATTTTAGCCGAAAATCAGAAGCTCGATTTTTTTATTTTTGAATAATTTAGCTTTCTTTTCTTTTTTCATATAACGACTTGGATCAAGAGTTTTTTTGCCTGTTTTTTTGGGTTCGAACACAATAAATTTTGCCCTAAGAAAATTGAAACTGTTAGATCATCGGTTTGTTTTTTTTTTCACGTGATTTCGATGTATTTAAAAAAACTGCTCCTCGATGTTTTAAGAAATGTTGTCGGTAATGTCCAGTATTAGTCCAAAATCAAACATTATCAATGCAATTTTAATTGGTCAACATCATAACAACAAAATTAATTAGAATCTATTGGCTTCCACTTTGTGGTGTCCCGTACCTTACAAAACTTGGAAACCAGATCTGAGCATCGTAAATTCTTGCCTATTTCAGATCTTGTCCAGACATGGTGCATGTTTCGTTTGGACATGGACATGTCTGAATCAGGACTGAGGCAGGTACGGATTCTATCACAAAAGCAGACCTGCTCAAGGTCTGATTCAGACCTGGGGCACACATGGGTCAGACCTGGTGCAGATCTGTTCAGATCTGACCCATATATGTTCCAGGTCTGAATCAGACCTTGAGCAGATCTGCTTTTGTGATAGAATCCATACCTGCCTCAGTCCTGATTCAGACATGTCCATGTCCAAACGAAACAAGCACCATGTCTGGACAAGATCTGATAAAGGCAAGATTTTAAGATGCTCAGATCTGGTTTCCAAGTTTTTGTTGGATAGATTTCCACTCACTAAAATTTCACAAAGACTCCGGGGCAGATCGATTCAAGTGTCTAAAAACAGTTTTGATAAATTTTTTACATCAGTCAATGACAACACTTTCGAGAACATTATTTTATTCCATTTCGCGAAGTTTATTTTAATATTTTTCAATATAGTGCATAGTCAAATAAGGTATGCATTTCAATTCTATGTGTTATTTCACTTGTTATTTAATTCTATGTGTTATTTCAATTCTATGTGTTATTTAAATGGAGCCTTGAATCACTTGTTATGCAAAGCATGCATAGCATTGAATTAACATTTTAAATTTCTTAAAAGCCACACGGTGGCCAGTCAATAGGCAGAACGGTTGAGAGCAGAATGGGTCCAAGAGGAGAAAAACAGAAAAAAAAAATCAACTTTTATAAGCTAATCGGTAAATTAATTATCAGAAATGTCAATAAGCTTAGAATAATAGAAAAAAGCTGAAAAAAAGTTGTTTCGCAGGTTTTTATTTCTAGCCACCCGACTTTTCGTTCCAGAATTATTACAAACACATTATTCTAAAGCTCTACGTCTGTAGATTTTTTTTCTATACGTACTTTTCAAAAACTGAAAACAAGTACGTGATTTCTAAACGAGTTTTAGTGTTATTTGTTAAAATAACTATTTTCAATGATAAAAACAAGACACGTGACAAAAGTTGAAAATTCATTCGAAAATTTCAAAAAAATTTTTTTTCAGATCTGATCATGTCTGATGCAGTTCAGGACAGATATGCAATCTCACAACAAATGGATTCACCCTGGGCATATCTGTTTTTTTTATTTTTTTTCTGTAACATTAAAATTTTTGTATCTTCCAGGTCTGAACATGTCTGATACAGTTCAGGACAGATATGCAATCTCACAACAAATGGATTAACCCTGGGCATATCTGTATTTTCATTTTGTTTCTGTACGGGGTCTTTGTTATCAATTTTCTAACTGCAATCTATGGAAAAAAATGCTTTTATTGTCTTTTGTTTTTGATATTTCTGCAAAATCCGACTCAAAGCCTCGTCTTTTGCAATAAAACGTATGAAATTTGGACTCTTTTCTTTATATTAGGCCCATTTTCAAACAACCTCCCGTCTTACTCGTCAACATCATTCATAACCCCTTGACGTTCTAAACAACGACCATCGAAAAAAATGCAGAGCAAACTTTTTTTAATATAAACCGAACAGCCTTTCGTGAAAAACTTCCCAAGTTTTTTATTTCGCAAATTTTGCGAAAACAAGTGCGTAGTCAGAACATGAAACAAGGCATCATAAAACACTTAATATCTTATAACATTTATATCACAGGATGTGAGAATGTTTACGGAAACTGGGCGGAAAATAAAAACTGCTGGCAGTTTTTGGTTGCAATTGCATTTTTTCCTGGCTATTCGGTAAAAAGATTTTTGCAGAAGGTTTTTGCAGAAATTGCAAGTGAAACATAAAAAAAATACGGATCCCATAAACTAATTTTCATCCTCCCCTATTGCCAAAGGGGGGAGATGCGTTGCAAGCTACAAAACAAACATATGCTGAGCCTTTGAGTTCGTTCTTTATTGGGGGGGGGGGGGGCAGTTTTGTAGTTTAGAGAGCTAACAAAATCCAAATCTATTTTGCAGGTTTTTTAGCTTCCGCCAATCTATCGACTTATTTACACCAATTTCTGTGCCATTTCATTTCAATTTTTTACCTGGTGCTAAATGAACACAATGTGCAGCTGTAAGTACCCAAAAAGTGTCAATAATTGCTGCTCCACAGAATTCTTTCCAGTTTCTGAATGACTCGTTTTCTTTCCCCTCCTCCCGATAAAACAGATAAAGTATATTGCATTTTTTAGAAAGCTCAAATGCGAATTTGAAGTGTATATCTGGGCATAAAAATCAAGCTGAGCGAAATATTGAATAATCGAAAGAACTTTCAATTAGCTTTTCGAAGGGAAAAGAAAACAATGCCTGAAGTGGATGGTAACAAAGAAAGCACGAGACGACGGAGCGTCAAAGCCATTGACAATTAAGGAAGTTCCAGCGAGTTTGGATATTGTTTCTGGATCGTCAGATTTACTTTGGGTGGTTCTAGAATTGGAGTAACATAAAAGTGTCATTAAAACTAAAATTTTGAATGAAACGAGCATGATTTTTTCTATTACCAGAAAATCAAGTGTCTTTTCCGAGTAATTTAAATAAGATTCGTAATATATGGTAATATATGTAGATTTGGTTTTGAAGATTGAAATGTCAATTAAAGGATGTCATAGCTGAAATAACATTTTCTTATTGAACTTATCGGAACAAAATTTGAGATGAAACGACAATATTTAAACTAGAGCTTGTTCCGTGTTATGACATTAATGTCCGAAACTTAAACATAATTTTTCGAGTCGACTAAACCTCAAGCTTTGAAGCTTTAAGTTCACATATATTTTCATCATGCCTGAATAGAACTTTGAACTTTGGTGTTTCACTCGATGTTATGAAATATAATTCAAACAAAAACTGTTAAACGGGCCAACTTTTGAATTAAAAGCTAGAGCAGATCAGAGCATCTGTAAAGTAAACGTGAAATGGGGGAGCGGTGGTGAAGTGGTTACGTCTCCGCCTCTTAATCGAAAGGTCGAATGTTCGAGGCCCACCATGATCCGCGCTCGTTGCTTGAGGGTGAGGCAACATTACCCAGCCCAGAAAAATAACCAAAAAAAAATTGCATGTAGTTCTTAAACAGGGGCACAACAGCGGTTCGCCGTGATGAGCTGTACAGCTATTGTGTTGGTCCTTTCCCCCGTGGATAAATGGTCTTAATTGTTAAGCGCAATGTTCTTTAAGTTCACATATAATTTGATCATGCCTGAATAGAACTTTGGTGTTTCACTCGATGTTATGAAATATAATTCAAACAAAAACTGTTAAACGGGCCAACTTTTTAAAATATTAGTTGGTAGTCGAATTAAAAGCTAGAGCAGATCAAAGCATCTGTAAACTATATGTGAAATGGGGGAGCGGTGGTGATGTGGTTACGTCTCCGCCTCTTAATCGAAAGGTCGGATGATCGAGGCCCACCATGATCCGCGCTCGTTGCTTGAGGGTGAGGCAACATTACCCAGCCCAGAAAAATAACCAAAAAAAATAGCATGTAGTTCTTAAACAGGGGCACAACAGCGGTTCGCCGTGATGAGCTGTACAGCTATTGTGTTGGTCCTTTCCCCCGTGGATAAATGGTCTTTATTGTTAAGCGCAATGTTCTTTAAGTTCACATATAATTTGATCATGCCTGAATAGAACTTTGAACTTTGGTGTTTCACTCGATGTTATGAAATATAATTCAAACAAAAACTGTTAAAACAGGCCAACTTTTTAAAATATTAGTTGGTAGTCGAATTAAAAGCTATAGCAGATCAGAGCATCTGTAAAATAAACGTGAAATGTAGGGTTTCGATCCCCTTCCCCAGAATGGTGTCTTTTTGCTGTCCTTCTTTCCAGGATATGACACCCTCACCACACAAAAAGATCCTCACTTAGGTAATTTTTTTTCCAAAAGTGCTATTTATATACTAATTTTGAGGCTGCGCGCACCAACAATTTTCTGTCAAAACAATCCAAAAAATGCCCAAAAACAACCTTTTCGATCTTTTTTTTTCTCAAAAATTAGTCGTCTTTTTACAGATTTAAAAATTTTTTTCTAAACATAGCGTTTTCAGAGCGCTCGGAAATTTGATTTGGTCGGAAAAAAAGTTTAAAAGAAACCATCGAAGTTTTTAAGAAGTTTTTAAAAATCCGCACCCGCTCTCGGTCGAGAAAGTCATAAATCCACCCCTTCTTCAACCGACTCAAGTAGCCTCAAAAAATTAAAACTAAAAGAATAGATTTCGTACAAATCAAAAAACATAAACGAAAATCTGAGTGCTTAAGTAAAAAAAAGGACAAAAAAAAGTTAATTCTAATAGCCAAATAATATAATTGGTCAAAATCACGCTTAATCTTTTCTGTTCATTAGTTTTTCTACACGTTTTTTGTTTGGTCATATGGTCCGCAAATGGCCACTGATTTACAAGGAACGAACAAAACCATAAAGAGAATTATTTTTGCAATGAGAAAAAAAACCTACCCGTAATTAGTAAATTATTTCAAAAAGATCTGATTTTTCTTACTAGAATACGTTAGTAGATTTTCAGATCTGACTTTTAAAGTTGTCTGTGCAAATCAGAGAGGAACTTTGATTGGCTATCAGGCATTTCTAATTCCATTTTCGATTATGTCCCCAAAATCCAGACTACACGTACCCAACATAAGCTTCTAATCTGGATAAAAATTATATATAGATAATCTTACCTAAATTTCTCTGTTTTCTGTATAGAAATTATTTATTTCTCATCTTACATTGGAAATAAACATTGTCTGGATTGCAATATCCAGAAATCAATTCACTGCTCACCCACAACGAGATAAACATGCTTCGAGTATAGAAAATAGCCGTAAAAAGACAATGGTATAATCAATGCAAACTAAAACATGTCATTAAAAAGTGTTGCTTTAGATTGCTAAAACAATTCGAAGTTATCAGGTCATGTGGCGTAGTGGACAGCACATTTGTCTACCCAAAAGAAGGTTGCGGGTTCGCACCCTACAAAGAGCCTTTTTTACCAAGAAATAGCCTTGGTTTAGTTTGAATGTCATTAGAAATGAGATGAGAAACAAAAAGTTAGAAGAAAACCCCTGCATTTTTTAATTATTTCAAAAAAGATTTGTGGCCAAAAACATAGAATTAGAAGTTAAGTATTTGTCGTCAAAATTAAAGCGTTTGTTCGGTACGGGTAAACTAGTTTGTTGAGCAAAGCTCTTTCTTGCGAATCAAGGCCAAATTTTGCATCTATATCTTCCACACGGTACAACAGCTACAACACAGTTTGGTCAGGATGTGGTAGCTGTCACATGAGAGCTCGTCCGTGCATACTATCTTGGCATGACTGGGGATCGATTACCCGATCTGACTATCTCAAAGTGAACGCGTAACCACTAAACTTACATTTCCAACTATGCGCTGGAATTCTAACTTTTGAACATATTTTCTCTTCAAGTTTCGTCAAATTCAAAACGGTATGTTGAAAAAATCCAACAATTTAATAGTAAATTGGATTTTCTGATGTCTATAAAATACAGACAAACTCTTTCTTCAGACAAACTTCGCCTTTCTAACCAGCCAATTTGAATGAGTTTTTTTTTCAATCGGCGAAAAGTATTGTTGTCTTGAGCTTGACTTTAGAAAAATATATTTTACCTGAGACATTTTTTTCTAAAGTTCTGATGGCTTAAAAATTGCCACTTTGACCAATTTTGGACAAATAACCCGTGATATACTTCGGCCTATTAACCTGTCTCAGAAATCATTCCACATTGGTTGAAGCAAGCTATTTGCCACAACTGATAGATTACTAGGAGTGAAATCTATCACTTTGTAATTTATAGGTGGTGGTGGTGTATGATAAAAAGATTTTTTTCTATTTTTTTTTTGAAAAACTCATTAAGTTTTCTTAGGTGAACACTGAACCATAGGCCTAAAAAGGAAGTCGGAATGTTGAGAACTTTGTCCTGACACGAGCTTTTTTGTTCTGTTTAGCATCATGTTCGTCAAGAAATTGATTTTTCCACTTTTCATCGTCGTGCTTTTCCAGATTTTTTCCATGATGATTTTCAGAACGTTATAATGGTCTAAAGTTGGAGCTTTTTTGACGACTAAAAATCAAATTAGAATAATTAACGCGCAACGTAGTTCGTTTTAGTAAAGCGTAAGCCATAGCACTTGGTAATTTACGTAGTTTGTGGGGAGTGGGAGGAAAAAAATGTATATTTTTTCTTTTTTGATTCATTTTTTTAAAATCAAATAGCTTGTTGGTTTTTTCTCACTTTTTTTGCGTCAATTCGGCTAAAATTTTTCATCTTGTAATTTTTCAACCCACAAAAACTCGACATTTTGCGACTGTTCGATCTCCGAATTTGGCTACTAGAGCCCAAATTTAAGTCAAAGCGCCCATTTGTAACAAATTACAAAAACGTGTAAGCAGACACAAATGATCAAATTGTTACAATTTTTCTTATTTATGAGCATGAACAAATTTTTACAAACTTTATTCTGTAAGGGGGAGTGCGAAACTGGAAAACTGGCGAGCACTCTCAATTCTATTAAGTAACAAGACTATTTACAAGACCTTGTCTCGATGTTCAATTTGTGCGATTGCTTCCTCATACCTTGCAGGAACTCCCGGTGGAACAAAGAGAGATGTCTCATTTTTGGAGATGACGGTCTTCTGGACAACGAGATGCCCAATAAACGTTTTTTCGCAATTTGTGTATACCATGTGAAATGAAACAGAACGAAACTTAAACTATTGATTTCCGCAAGAAAAGAAAAATCTACAATAGTAGAGGATTAGTGAAGAACATTACGGTTTTTGTACGTATTTGTCTCAAAATATATGAGGTTAGATTTGGTTAGTTTTTGTTTGACTGAATCTGATTTAATAATAAATTAAAAGTCATTGAAAAACCTTTTTATAATATGGAGATGCACAAGTTCGATCGAAAAAATTTGCTGTTACTTTTTGGGCCGAAAAGAGAGGAAAACTGTCACAACACCAACTCTGAAGAACTGGTTGGTTGTTTACTTTCTATCATGAACTTTGCCGTGCATCATGAACTACTTTCTATCATGTACTTTGAACTAATTTAGTATTTTAAGAGTCTAATTTGAAAGGTTTTTTTGCTTCTGATTGCCTTATTCATTCAAATTTAGTTTATAAAGAAAGATAATGCAATTTTTATTTGTTTGAGTTTGCCGATCAAATTATCGAACATAAAACCTAATGACATGAAGTTTGTTTGATATCGAAGTTTGGTTTTTCTGAAGTTTGATATCGAAGTTTGGTTTAAAAAGCATTTGAAGGTTGACCAAAATCTCTACTCTTACATTTTGTAATCTCAAATACAATATCCTTTAAGTCGAAAAGCACATAAGCTTTTATGAAACCTGAATGCCTTTTTATGCCGCGAATAGGGCATAATGGGCAGGTTTTCATCCAGAAAAACTGCAATTTATCACCCCAATATTGATTTTTTTTGACAAAAAGCTTATCATACAAATTTCATACCTTAAAGGATTGATGATAATGATTTTTAAGATTATTGAACGTAATGAGTTCTCTTATATAGGTCGTGCTAATTTTTTTTAAATTTTTTTTTATTCACGCTTAATTTTGATTTTTCGCGGTTTGACTTCTGTTTTCTTT